ACAGCAATATAATCAATGAATAAAGGGTATCAAAGCGCTACACTGTAAGACTTACTCTTTGAATTGCCTCTCCCTGGTCGCGAATTCGTTTCTGAGTTTCCGCGATTTCACTGCTACAAAGAAGAAAATAGGTTTCAAGTAAAAGTTATGAATTACAGTCATTCGCATACCTGAGACCATCGCGTTGTTTGACGGTATCCGCAAGTTCCTTCGACAAATTGTCTACGTTTTGAGCAGAGTGCTCAACCTGACTTCGCAACAATGATATTTCTTCTTCGGATTCGTCCAGTTTCATCCTAAAATCGATCAGCGACTCAGTATTATAAGCAAATTCTGAATATTTAATCATTTAATAAATATAGAATAAACTACGAAAGCTCACTTTTAATGAAGCTATACAAATTCTCCCTTTCTGCAAAGTTTAAGTGAATTAAATAGCAGATGAGGTCGAAATTGAAGTGAAAAATGAAACTACAGATAAAACTATTTTAAAAAACTGTAAAATATCGTATGACAGTCAGGTAGTTACATGACAAAACATATTTAAGTGCTTTATTTTAAGCAACGTCTAGAAATCACATGATAATGATTCACTCAGAGCCGCAACTGATCATTCAACGTAACAAAATGCCGCAGAAGTGAAGCAGGCATGAAACAGAAAAATATAAATTTTGGATCTGAAAGCAGGTCATCTCCAAGTCATAGCAACGGAGTTGCTTGTAATCTCACAGGTTAAAAAATCATTTAACTTTTAGTGCCATGGATATTTGGCGATTTCGATGCATCTGAGGGCTGCATCATCTCCGCAAACATTCGTGTCGGGTAGGTAGGAGAAATCACATTTAATGTGAACAAATCATGCGCACAGACGGTCACAGTTATGCTCGTAATTCAGAAACTGGTCAACAACCCATCTTTGAAAACAGGAAGCGAGGAAAGAACAAAAATGAACCCGTTTTGAATCATTTTAAACATATCACATATATTATGTAATTTTGAATGTACCTACATTACGTAGATTGATTATATGAATGTCTAAGTCTATGCCTACTCAATGATTGTACTGGCAGATAATAAATCATATTTGCATATGTATGTTACCTTCTAGAATGGTAATCGGTTTTTAACAACATGGACTGAAACTGATTTTCCGTCCAATGCACTACCATAATCTTTTCATAAGACGGCTTAATGACCACTTATTGCAGTTTGCTCACAAGCGGTTGATTAACACACTAAACTGATAGCGGATCGTGAACGCAACCCATATAGTGAAAGCTGTTATGCAACAGAACCTTCTCGTCTTGCAAAGTTTCCCCATACGTATTCAGATTTAAGTGCAATTCCTACCGCCATATAACAAAATTCTAACCGACTAGTTTCAGTGACTTATTAATGACAGAATAAATAATTTATTGATGCAGTACGTTTGTCATGAAATGACGTCAGTTTCACAAAAGATTCGCAAAACATTTTTATAAAAATTTTTGTTGCTCGTTAAAAGGGCAATATTTTGAATGTTTTACCGCTCATGCATATCGACATTAACAAAATTATTCATCCTAATGCCAGAAGCTGCAGCTAATCTCAAACCACCAGAAATTGAATGTATATCACTGAAGCTGTCAGTATTCAGTAACTGTACTATATTGGCCATGAAACAAGTCTTAGACGCAAGCTTTATTTCATATTTTCGCTTGAACAAAACGTGAAAGATCTTTTGTGCGTCTGTTCTGCGCAACACTGCACGAGTCAGAATTCATTCTGTGAGAAGTATTTGTCAATATTACATATCAGTACATTAATAAGTAACTTATTTTTAGACCTTCCCGGAAAGAAGACTTTATTTGCAAAAGATTTAGATTCTGAAAGTGCTAAGTTGGACTGACTGAAAGTTCAATGTAAATATGACATATATAGTATATATAACAATGATATATTTAAAAAATCAAAATCATTCATCGCATGTGCTCATCACAGTGCGAATTTGACGTGTATGGTTTAGGAGAGACTGCGTAGTAATTAAGATCAATCAAAAAAAGATACTGCGATAAGCACGAAACTCTCAATTGATGGGTAATTCAACTACAACCCTGAACAATCCACTATTCATTTTGCTGTTCCAGCAACCAATCTTCCATACTGTGTGTGGCAAATCAACCTCTGTCATTGATGGCTGATGGCAAAGGAACGGAGAGGCAGTGCGTGGTTCCCCTGAAGAAAGAAGAACATAAGAAAAGATGACCGTTATCGAATTGTAAGATGACCGATGCTTCAATCTTTACAAAAAAAAGATCCGCGTAATTTAGTTGGCAATTTCTAAAGAACCAACTTTTTGGAAATGAAAATGAACACTCACCGCAGAGCAGTTACGCCATCTGGATCGAATTTCGCGCGTTCTTCCAATAGCTTCTTGTTCAGTCCTCGAACCTTTTCAACCTCCTTATTGGCAAATTCCAGATCTTTTTTCAGAGCTTCGCTGATGGACGTCGCGGCGTGAATATCTTCACCCAACTTGTGTAAACGCACCTCCAAATCAATGCTCTAAAACATATAATCTCATCGACTTCTGAGACGACACGACGTACAACAGACACAAAATCAGATAAATACCTTTTGCTTTTCATCCTCTAAACTGCGTTGAAGCTTCTGATTTAAAGATTCAGCCAAATCACACTGTGCTTTCAAATAATTCTTCGCTTTCACGTCGTTCAACAAATCAGCATTCTCCTTCATCACACCCTAAGACAATGTTCCTTTAGGAAAGAAAATAACCTGTTTGAACGCACAACTGTAATAGACGCAGCATGAGAAAATCTCAAGAAGTCGCCACCAAAATGACATATTTACAAGCCAACGCTGGATTAATTATTTAGTAATAACAGATAAACCAGTCAATCAACTATTTCAAAGCAAGCAAAACAACTGAGAACGAAATAAATGGAAAATTAACTAATGATGCTATCAAGGAACAAAAACACTAAAAGAATGTACAAAGACAATAAAATGAAAAGCTCACATATTTTCAAGACGATCTTCGCTGAACTCGAAAAGAACATAAATACTGACTAGAACACTTTTCAGTGCCTATCGTCGCTCCAAATTATGTTTGTCATTAAAAGACATTCAACAAGATTAAAAAAGACCAAAACTGCAAAATGCTTCATCAGAATACAGATGTGCGTCAAAATTAAGCGGAAGCAGCTGCTCTCCATAATAGTCCACTATCCTACTAGAAGCAGGAGGATGGTGCGATTATGCGGTACTAATGCAAAAAAAATGACAGTAAAAATTGAAATGGCTGGCTGGCGATATTGAAACAAGCAGTTTGCTAGCAGATACATAATACCGGGTTTAATTACATTACAACTGCTTTTTGTCCGCTAGACTTTTCAGCCCTTGAAAGAAAAAGTCAAATTAGTTGGTTGTAAAGCTCTGCCTAGTCGGCAATGTATTCACCTAGCTAAGGATGTAAAGAAATAAGCATATAATGCAAAAATGGCTGTTTTGTGCAACAAACTGTCAAATGCAACTCCAAGAAACTGTTTTCAACTTATTTTGATTTCTTTCGCTAGGCTAGGAAGTTTTTTTCATGAAGCAAGGTAGTATCACTACTAACTGCAATCCCGTTCGTGATATATCTATTCCAAACTTGTTCAAAGTCACGATTACAGCGAACCGTCACTTTGGAACATAATAATCAGATCATTAAGCAATAATGCGTTAAAACAGCTTGTTGCTGCGGTAGGTTAGGGTAACAAATTCCAGTGAAAATTTGACTCCAAAAATTCATTACGACAGGATTCAAAAAACGTTTAAAAAAGTTCAACACTAACAAAAACTGCGTCTGAAAAGCACGACCTGAAACAATAGAAACGCTGCTTTGCTTTGTCATTAGTTGGATATGCGCATTTTTGGCAAGTAAAATTTTAATACAATCTCCCTTGTCATCTTTGCGAGACACTTTGCTGGACTATTGTTTGTTGCTCTGAATAATACCGCAGTACCGCAACACATAAGCAGATTATCAGGAAACGTTTGCACAGATTTATAGGCAATGAATATCATTTAGAACGAAATTTTTAAATTACATAAATCAAGAAACCAAGTTGATCTGTTACACGAGCTCTTGAACTGATGTGTTCTCCTAGTCACTCACATTCAATCGTTCCTCTGCGATTTTCAATCTTTCCGCAAGATTTAATTCCTGCTGTTCCAAATATTTCACTCGTTGATCAGACTGAACAAGTCTCAGTTCGAAATCACTGTTCGCTTTCTCCAGCGAGGAATTTTCATTTCTGAGATTTGTGAGAGCCTGCAAAATTCAAAAATGAATGAAAGGCGGGGATCTATCTTTCCGTATAAACTGAAACCTCCAAAACTGCGCTGTCCGAGCATAATGCAAATTGTTGCAAAGCTTCAGTATTCACTTCTCCTTGAATTTCACTTCTAAGTTCACGCATCCTTTCGCACATCTGCAAATATAATTAAGACTTTCATGTGTAAGGCTGCTGAAAATACTCACGCGTTCTACGCTTTCGCCCAGAACTTCAGTGAAATGACGTAAATGGACGGAAGCTTGCTTCTCCTCTTCCAGTTCAGTCCGAGTTTTAGCCTCGAGCATCTATAAAACGAAGATCACACATATGTTAAATGTTCTACAGCATTCGGTTTAAATATGTTCACTCGTTCATTTACAATGCCTCAAAAGTATGAGCTCAAATTTCGCTGCCAATCACGGCTGAATACATTTATAAATCTAAGGATGATTGGCTTTTAATGACTTTAATGACCGAAATCTTAAATCGTCCCCAAAGATCTGCTGCAACCCTTAAAACTAGCATGGATGCTGACAAACTGAAAAACTATAAGTCAAAATGAATCATGAAGTGATAAAATTTACATCCAATTGCATTTAATTTATACTAATACCGTAGCATACAAGTCAGTATACCGGGTTATATGCCAGAGTCATACCGCCACTGTTTCTAGATCCTATGGAATGTTGAGAGAGAGGTTCTAGTATTAGAGACAGAAAAGAATGGAATGGAAGATATTGGCGCATGCATATTGGGCGTAAACTGCTAGTCGATTTAAGGCTCAGTGTTGTAGTCGTCGCTATCAATTCCTATAACTTGACGGTAATCACCTGCATCAAATATTTAATTTGTCCAATATAAATGAAAGTTCCTGCGACTGAAGTATGATGCCATGGTCAAACTTGTGAAATTTCTGTTTGAGCGATTGCAAGCATGCTTCGTATGATTTTAGGTTTTGTGTGCCTTGCGTTAATTTGTTAACAACAGGGTCAGCTGCTAGGTGAGCCAAAGCTATCATGTGCTTAAAACAAAAACATGAAAAAGCAATGGTGTGAACAAAAACAAATGAACAATCCATAGTTGTCAGAAGCTGCTTCTCCAGATTGCGAAATAACCGTTGCAACGGTGTATACAGGTCTTGCGGATGCTTCCAGACGCACAGGAAACGACGAAATAGGAAAACTTGCTTAACTGACTGACCGCAATCTCCGGGGATGACCAAGAATGACTTGAAACAAGTGTCTCAACATACTCTGCTCGAGACCTGGGTTATCACATGCCAAAAATCAGCCGCTAGAACAGGATCAGGAAGGTTAGGTGCCTGACCGCACGTTGCTGCTTTCCAACCCGTAAAGATAAACGTCCTTAGAGACCTAATAGTTTATTTTTAACGTGAAGTTGAGCTTTTCAGTAAATTTTGGATTAACCAAGTTTAACACCACTTTAAATATTCTTCTCAGTCTGCTGAATGCTGAATTAATAAGACTTAAAAAAGTTTTAGAGAAGAATCAGAAGATTTTTTCTTACTTGTGCATTCTTCAGATCACAAGTTATTTGATCGACAAGCGAATTCTGATGTTGTATTTCTTCTCTGGACTTAACCAGTTCTTCGTTCAGACGTGCCATTTGCTCCTCCTTCACTTTTAAATGGGATGCAAGGTCTGCTAGTTCTCTGTTAGCCTAGAGAGAATACAAAATTACAACAACGATGATAACGATTCAAAGAACCAGAGAAAGACTGGAGCTCAGGTACTCCGCTTTTTGGACAAGATCATCTTCGTTCGACTTCATCAAAGCAATGTTGCTCTCATAAGTCGCCGCTTGCCGCTGAAGCGCAGCTAGTTCTTGTTCGGCGTTGATGACTCTGTTAACGTTGTCCTCTTCCATCTTCCCAATGATGCCTCTAAAGGCATCCCTTTCATCGATAAGCTTCAAAATCTTTTCTTGAGAAACACTCAAGTCCATCTTAAGTTGATTTATCGACAGAGTGGACATCTCTGACTCCTTCGACGATTCCTAAAAATACAGCACTGGAGCCGAAAATCGAACATACTTCTTCCCGGTAACTTACATTTTGGACTTCTGACAACCTTATCTCCAGCGAACAGGCAAGAGACTTATATCCTTCCATTTCGTCCATTGCAATTTGTAGTTGAGATTCGAGAGCTGCAACAAACAGAATTTAAAAAAATATTCACAATAAAACAAAGAAGCAATTATAGAAAAAAACTGAGGCAACTACAAACCGTCTAATAAATAGTTCAACAATGTCTAAAGCACAAAAATGACCACTCGTCCAACAAGTCTGCTAAGTAATATCTACCATGAAAATGTGCACCTTTCATTACTAAAACATGCGATACTTCCAAGGTCTTCCTAATTTTCGATACTTTGTCTTTACTGAAATGTCCTTTAGTCAGGTCTGAAGCAAAAAATCTAATCAGTCGAGCATGATGATTCAATAACCGTATTTGGCATCCATATTTACAGAAATTTTTATACCGTAACATTATGTAGCTGATACATGCTAACAAAATGTCACCTTTAACTTTCTGCAATGACTCGGCTAAAAGTTCTGCATGATTAGGATGCGGATAATTCGGCTGATCCCGTGATTTACTTTCAATCGTCGAACATTCCGGTGAGTCTAAACAGCAATTTATTAAGAACTGAATAGTCAGTATTGAATATCAACTCTTATCTGTGTTCAAGAATAAAACATGATTTTTTGTGTTTAGTGAGACGCGCGGAATTCATTAAGGAGTTTTTAAAAAGAGAAACCTTTCAGAAAAAAGATCTGGGGGAAGGAAATAGTCGTCGTTTACTACAGAAAAACATAATGCAGAAAATTCGTGATATACGAATGGCCAAAGACAAAGTGTTGAAAATCACAGAAACATGAATACAAATTCTGAATCTCTAGACGATGAATGTAAAGCAGAACAC